ATTTCCTGTTTGAGTGTTGCCCCTTGCATGATCTAATCTTGATTTAACTATTATCTCCTGATTAATTACGCAGCATACTGTGCTACTGTAATAATATACGCCATCTTAATTTCAAATTTCACAGTTTTTAAATAGAGTATCATTATTATTGTAATTAAGAACTAATAGAAGATTTACGGGTCTATTTTTTATTATATGTCGAATCAGAATTAATCTCCCTCTCGCTCCTCGATATATATGTACATATTTGTGCATATATCCTTATGGATATGTTTGTAAAACTTTAAGAAATACCTTGATTATAAATGTGAAGCAATACTTAAACGATGCATTTTTGATTAACTATTAAAACTATAACTTTTAAAGTACGATAAAATGTCAGGGAGTGTAAATCTGTCTTTGGATTCTGAATACAGTTTGACTACTTTCATTTTTATGCCGCCCTACTGACTACTACTACTTTTATGGCGTCTTGGGTTCCGTCTTGGGGCTTTTATGGAGTCCCGGATAAAGCACGGATATTTGAAAATATATAGTATCTTCGCGGCATGGGGGCACTCAAAACAAATGTCGAAAAAGTCCTCTCCAGAGGCTGATGGCAGAGGAAAAGGTGTAGAAGACCCTCCAGACCGTCTTAGGGGACGGAAATTTCTTAGGATATGAAACTAGGCAAACCAGTGTTGTCATCTGAAAGGTGTCCAAGAGCATCTGAAGATTACAAGTGCTAACTCTTTGTCATGATCAATATAAGCATCTGAGATCCTCTCAATTCAAGAGGATACGGACAACACTTTCTCTTTTCTAAACTTTATTTACCTTCGACATGTTATAGGATCTTACTCTCTTTGGCCACATACACTATACTAGATCCTACTAAGGAACTGACGACTGGCGGGAAATAATACCAGCACAGAATAAAGGTGAAAATAACCCTTTATTATTATCAACTATGAACAGAAAAGCACGTACTTCGTGCTTTACATTAACACCGACAATTTGCACTAACACTACAAGCACACTAACACGACAAATCAATTCAAGTCCAAAGAGAAGTGCTGTTAAGGATAACTAGGCTGTTAAGGATAACTGTTTTAAGTTAAGGATAACTAGGCTGACTTGACAACCTACCCGACATGATAATTATTTAAATGGCCAAAAGGCGTATCAGCAACTCCGCGTAACAGCGAGGTCAGAATCGTAACGTGCGCTGGCTATCGAAAACACGCTCTGAATATACTCCAAGATTCACCCGTTTAAATACTTTAAATTAGCATCTTGGCGAGGGAAAGTTGAGGCGTTCAGGAAGGATAACAAAAATTGAATAATTGGTTAATTGAACTAAGGGAAACCCTACAGTTAACCACATGGAAAACGGAGACTTAAAAAAAAGTCTAAATAATAAACTATTAAACAAAATAAATCAATAAATAATAAAATTTTTAATAACATTTCATGTTTCAGGTTTCAATTTTTTAGCTTTATATGCAAGTAAAGAGATCACACTTTAAATGATGATATAAATTTTGGAACAAATAAATTAAATTTATTATATTTTCAACTTAGCCATCACACTCGGTATTGTAAAGAGCGGTGCCAGCCGCCATATCTGGGTTCGAATCCCAGAGAAGACATGGTTTTTTTGTAATTATCTATCATTCTTTTTGCAGATGTAATATTGATCCCTCTGAGATGCACTCTAGATAAAGTTCTCTTAAAGACATGGCTGATGGGTACGATTATTTCCAATCAGTGCTTAACGAGCAAGTATCCGACCATTGCGGAAGGGGGAGATTTTCAACTTGGGTTTCATGAATCAAACGTATCACGTAGATTTTTTGCCCTTAGTTTAACAATGCAATATAGAAATTCCTGTTACTCTTTACACAGTAGCAATCTCACTACAAGATCTTGAAAGGGCGATCTGATTCATTTTCATATTAATCAACCACTTCTATAGATAATAAATTTTGTTGAGGGCAACAGAGCTCGACTGCTGTGTCAACAGCTGCTGGGAGATTATTATTCTCTCGCAGAGACTAAATTTAGAGGCTAATCTGTTAAAATTACGTTACGGCAAACATTAGTTATAGTTAAAGGTAGGCAGTAAAATTACACAGTAGTTTTATTTAACTCGTTTTTCTTTGTCTTTCATTTGTTTATTTCTAGAGCATGGCGGGTTAACCACGTAGAAAACGGAGACTGAAAAAAAGTCTAAATGATAAACTGTTCAGAAAAATAAATAAATAAATAAATAATAAAATTTTTAATAAAATTTCATGTTTGTTTATTCGATTATTAAATCGATTTAATTTGAACACTCGCTTTGATTGGAATACGCCTTTGAGTAGGACTCTCTAAAGAAAACTTACTTGCACTCACACCATAAAACTAAGAAAGCATTCACACAGCCGACCCGTTCTCTGTGATACGAGCCTAGGTCAAATTACCAATGTTCAGCGATTTTTACCACTTGGCCTTTGAAATGCTCTCATACAATAAATAAGTTTGTTGAAAAGCTAGCATTAGCTCAGTAAGTTTTTTTTCAGATTGAAAAGGAAGCAATGTAATTACCAATTGCAATAGTGCAATCGCAGAGCGTATAAAATAAGACATATGCAACTCGAATGTGGCTCTAAATAAACTTTCAAATGCTCAGTGACTTAAATTCAATTACGTTTATAGAAGTTGTTAGGTACTTTCAGATACAGAGCCTCAGTATCAATTTTAGCTTTTACAACTACAGCTTATTTCGTTTTTATTTTTATTTTATTTTTCCTCAATACCTATATATTCTGTATCCGTATATATTCTGACTTTAAGTTGTACAGACATTAAGTTATTTATTTATTTATTTATTTTTTGAAACGGCAGACGCGAAAAACAAGCAATGCCCTCACCGTGAATTGAACTACGAACCTCTTGAATACGCGACGATCGTGCTGACCACTACACCACGAAAGCGTGCTAATAAGGTGGGAGAAATACCTTATATACTCCCCTTTTAAAGGGCGACTGGGGATTAGAGGACCCAATCGCCAAATCCTGGTGGTGGAGAATCATCATCCACCGCCTTTTTTAGTTCGGGCGCCACTGTAGAGACATTAGGTTATTTTTTGAAACGGGAGACGAGAAAAATGAGCAATGCCTTCGCCGGGGTTCGAACTACGGACCTCTCGAATACGTGCCGAGCGTCCTGACCACTACACCACGGAGGTATGTTTAGAAAGCGGGAGAAATACCTGATAAAGTCATGATTTTATATTGTATAATTAATTTCGAGTCACGTCTAAGCAGATTATATCTCAAAGGTTAATTTGATATTTCCCATTTTACATTTTAATTTCTTATTGGCAATTTAATATTTTTAAAATTTGTTACTTAAAATTTAAAAACTCAATTTTATAAAAATTTGACAATATTATCTTTTCTGAGATTTTTAAATTCCAATTTTTTTAGTGGATTATGAATTTGCTATGTTGCTTTCCAATTTTTTAACTTATAAACCATTAAGAAATTTGTAATTCAAAAACCTCAGAAAAGGCGATATTGCCCAGTCTCTATAAAACTGATTTTTTTTTAAATAAAAAAGCCACTGATGTGTTAAAAGGTAAAAAGTAAAATTTGAAATTAATCATCAGGATATAATCTTCTGCGACGTGACTCGGAGTTAATTTTGCAATGTAAAACTAGGAAATAAACTCAAAAACAATTTTTAAAACATTTAAAATTGGAAAAGTAATATGACAAATTTGTAAGCCATTAAGAAATTTGGAATTCAATTATCTCAAAAAACGCAACGTTACCTAATCTTTGTTAAACAGAATTTTAAATTCTAAATTAAATTAAAAGATATATTAAAATGAAATAAAACTAAAATTAAAAAAAAATGAAATTACTCATCAAGATAATAGTGTTATCGAAGGGACTCGAAATTAATTATACAATAAAAAAATTAAGAAATAAATTCAAAAAAATTTTTAACACATTTGAAATTTGAAAAGCAGCATAACAAATTCATATGCTATTATGAAATTCGGAATTCAATTATCTAAAAAAAAACGCAATATAACCTAATCTCTGTAAAACTGTTTTTTTAAATTCTAAGTTAAAAAAATGTTTTAAAATGCCAATAAGAAATTAAAATTTAAAAAGTAAAATATTAAATTAATCAGCAATATATAATCTCCTCCGGCAGGACTCGAAATTAATTATACAATATAAAATCAGGACCTAAAATCAAATTTTTTTTTTTTAAATTGGAAACCTAAAACAAAGCATCGCAAATTTATAAGAAATTTGGAACTGAAGAATTTCAGAAAAAGCAAAGTTGCCAAATTTTAGTAAAACCGAATTTTAAAATTCTAAATTATAAATTAATAAAAATGAATTGTAGAAAGAAAATCATGATAGATATTTAAGCAGTTTCTCTCAGGACAAAGGGAAAAAAGAAACACTGGAAAACTTTTTTTTCTCTTATTTAGATTTGCTTTACGGATGCAATAGGGAAAACTTTATTTTTCCTACTATCTTCACTGGGTTGCAGTAGCTCCATAGCATCATTAAGTATTATTTACAAATTAAAATATAACGTGTTAAAATAAATACTTTATAATCTTTTTTATATTAAATAAAATCTGATTAAATGAGCATGTAAAGGAAAAGTTCTAATGTAAATAAATCCTTATACAGTAATACTTCGGACCTGATAGAACTACTTGCGTGATTTTTAACTTCTTACTCATGAAATAAAGCCTTAATCTGTCTTTACATAAGATGCCATCTCTATATGGATGAATGAAATGGCATCCACTCTAGACAGCGCACGCGGTGTATTATACATGCCTACTATAAGTTATAATATCTGTTTCTATCTATCATCTTGCTTAAAGGTAAGATATAAACAAAATTTTTAAAATAGATTCTTTTCAATTAAAATAACTGACATGAATTCATACATTTTTCAAAGATAAATTTTAAAGAAAATAGAAACATAAACTTACCAATATCTTCTTCTTAAGTCATGTAGGTGCATTAACAGGAAGGCAAAAAATGAAACTTTTAAGGCAAATAACAGTACGGCAACGATTTTACGTAACATCGTTGGTGCTGGAACTCGCTGCTTCATCGAAAGTTAGGCACTTCGTTGTCTGGAGAGAAAATGGCGTAAAATGAAACAAGCGCAACTCCTTTTATAGCCAGATCCCGGATCTTCTGCAAATTATGTAAAAATCTGGACTTCGACACATACGACGTAGGGATTTTCGAGAAAAACTGTCCCTGCTAAACCTAGCCTAATCTATTCTACACTCTCGTTAACACTAGTCTTTGCAGAAATGAAATGCAGTTTTAAAAGTGTTTAATATTACAATATACTTTCTTACTTGTGCAGCATATTCTAAATTATGTGTGAGCTAAAGCTGCCTGCGGGCCGAATACTGCCTGTACAATTACTTTATCTGTTATACAGCGACATTTTCATGTTTTTCCCTCCCGATTTTTTATGCAAACTACGGAAATCAACAACCCTTATTAGAGGTTATCTTGCCCGTCTTTTTTTAAGTGCATACACGCAAGTACTCATCTTGTTAGAGTGTGTATCCACACATACTGTAAGTATGACTATACTAGCAGCTAACCTAAGCTGAGTACACTAAATATGCTGGAAACGATGCGCATCCGTCGAAGAATACAGCTCTATAAAAAGTAAAAAAATCTGAAATTAAGTGCACAAAATGTTATTTTACGTTGTTGTTTATTTTGAAATTCCTCCCCTATTGCTCTGATAGACAATAGGACCACAGCAAAAATTGGCGCATAAGTATCTTGAAACCATGGGACGGCTCTGCCCGTATGATGCATTAAATATGGCCTATTTGACCTGTGGGTAAAAATACTTTCCCACCCCTGGCCTAAATTCACAGTAGTCCCAACAGTAGCCGAGTTGTTTAAGACCATTGAATACTGCTAGTTGGACCCGGGTTCGAGTCAGGACGAACGGGTTTTCTGCATAATTGTTTTCATTGATTTTTCCTATGTTTTACGTGAATAAGTACTATTGCTTTGCGTATTCTAGTAATCTAACGTAAACTAAGTTCACTAATTAATCTTATAGAAATGTAGGTTTAAGAGTCGCTGTTGACGATGAGAATTTATTGAAATAAAATTTGAGTTTTGGTGCAAGGTGATTCTTCGTTTACAAAAATTTAATAGAAGCAAATTAATATATATATATATATATATGCGTGTGTATTATTCTGATACTTTGGGAATTTTGTGGCTGATGTCACTGTTACACTAAAGCTTCAGGAATAATTTTCATATAGATAGATAAGATTAAGTGAGGTTATTTGATTATGGCAAAGCATATGAGGGTTTCTTGAATAAAGTAAGGTCTTCGTGGAGGATTTTCTAAGGAAATCAGACACATATTCATATTAAACATGGGGCAAAATCAAATATGTAGCCAGCTCATTCGCTTGGGCTTGAAAGCGGACCAGACTACCACATTTCATCTGTATGAACCACTCGGCCAGCAGTGGGGCTTCGTGTGCATAGAAAGGGGTGCATATAGAAGGTTAAAAATGGTTCAGAAAAAGATTTGGATGGTTTGGTTTGATTTATTTGGTTATGGGAAAGCATTTAAGATCTATCTACCTAAGAGTATAAATGGCTTCATGGAAGACTTTTTAAAAGGTGCTCGCATACACGTTACATATGGAGAAAAACTCGAAAACGTCCATGCAGTCAGCCTGTTCGCTGAACCCGGAACGAATTACCTGTGTTCTTCGACTTTACCGCTCGGCCGCTGGGAAGGAAGGGAAGGGGCTTGATTTATGTTTAATTTAATTATGCCGAAGCCTCAAGGGCTATCTGTCTAAGGGGAGTGATGCCTTCGTGGAGTAATTTCCTATACACGTTGCACATGAGTAAATCCACGAAAACACCCATGCAGCCAGCTAATTTCGGGGATTTGAACCTCAAACCGAACTACCAGTGTTCAGCGACTTTACCGCTCGGCCGCAAATAGGCGGGGGGGGGGAGAAAGACAGGTTATTTGAATATAGCAAAAGAGTTGTTTGCTTACATGGAATAATGCTTTGGAAGACGACTTTCTAGGAAATCTTAACTTGTATTCGTCATTCGACTGCTGCTGAGCCAAAATTTAATTAGTGTTGCATTCATATTGCAATTGTCATAAATGCTACGGTTTTGAAAATGCAATATTAGCTGAACAGTAATTGCAATGCAGTTGCTAATCAAATGTAGAGTGCTTAAATTTTAAAGATAAATGAAAGATCTTGTGTTTTGCCGAAAGGCAACATTCGGAATGCTTGCTATGCACGAGGGTGCATGGAAGATAAATTAAGTATGTTACGCTGACAACATTCTGACTGTTCGCTATGACCGAGGACGCATTATTATTCCAGTTAATACAATTACAATATAACTATTGCTATAATTATTCTGTAATTGTAATTATAATGCAAAAATAATTAAAATCATGAAATTACGATTATATTTATACTATTTCTGAATTTATAGTTGTATAATAACTCCGTTGATGGTGATTGCAGTTACATTGTAACTGAATTATCTTAATTACAATTACATTGTGTTTGCCCGATTTAACTATAACCCGAGTAGAACTGCCAGTATTCAGCTATGTTAACCACTCGGCCACTGATGATGGTTATGCGAGAACAGGTAAAACATCCTCCCAAAATTCATCTGAAAGACTGAAATTTCCTTTTGAAATATGCAAAAATATAATTTAAAATTATAGATCAATTAGGACTTTGCGTTTCATTAAAATTACAAATTAAATCGAGATGATATTAATTCCACTGCCTAACTGTTCATTGTTTCGAAACAATGGACAAAAAACACTGCTTAGTAAGGAATGAAAGCTACAGAAAGAATAATAAAATTTACTTAATATTATTAAGTTTCAAATGCATTTTTTTAAAGAAATTCTTCTACGAAAATTTGACCCAATATGTAATTAGAAGTAAATAAAGTATTATATGTTTCTTAGGAATTTTTTTTTACGTTTCATTTTACGAAACAATAGAAAATATTGAAACAATATGTTTGTTACATTAAATAAAAAGCATTCAATAAATGAAAGAGTTAAAATACAACAGCTATCATATCAGATTTCTCTTTCTCACCTGAAAAGTTCCAAGACAATATTTTACGTACATGTTCAAAACGGTAGCTATCAAAACTAAATCTCCAAAATATCATATTGTGCTTAACTGGGCGAAATATTAATAAAATTGAACGTAAAATTTCATAGCAACTAGATTGTTTCACGTTTAGGAACAATTTAAAAATATTTCAACCGAAATCAAACTCTTAGGAATTTCTATCCTCACATGTTTCTTTCTAAAATATAAGATTCTAGATGAAAACTCAACAATGAAATTTACCTAAATTTTTTAAAAATATATTTCCCGAAGTAGTTAAACTTATGGCAAAATCATTATCCATTTTACGTGGGAAAAATGGCTGAAAGTTTGAGGTTAGAACTATTTCCCTGCAATAAGTAGAATCAAAGGTCACTTGGTAGATGAAAACAATTTTTATAATACGGTTGGAATACGTAATTTTAATACGGTGGGAAATGTACTCAACGCTCCACGTGTGCGACTTTGACCCGCAAACAGCTACAATAATTCAGAATAATGAGATGCCATTCGAACAGGATCCAGATTTTTTAACTGTTTCGAAAGAAAAGGTCCCTATGACACATCGCTTGATAAACAAGTAGAAAGGATTCTTTTATCAAGGTCATAAACTGCGCCGATTTACATTGATTAAATGGTACAGTTAAACACTTTATTGAGTCATTTGGTTAACATGTCATTCCATTTACAGCATTGCCTCTTTGGAATCATTCCCAATATATTTCAATTTTTCCTTTGATTTTCCTGTTCTTGCGGAAAAGAAGAAAAGTCTTCTCACTATGTCTTTCACATGAGATACTGCTGTAATTATTCACTGCCGTATCATGTATTGTCCGGTTAATAACTTATAAGCAGCTATGATGTGAGGTTTGCATTTAAAAAAATGAAATCTAGTTCTCTTTCTCGTAATGTTGCCTTCTCTTTGAAATACTTTTTGCTGGGCTCTGGGCAGTTCTAAATTTATACGTTACTAATCAGATCAATTTAGAAATAATCTGCTCATTACAGCTTGATACAGGTTAAGAAAATATTTGGTATTACTTTGTCTTGGTTTGATTGCAAATATGTTGGGAAGTTCATTCAGTTGGTTTTAATTTATGAGCGTTCATGAAGGAACGAATGGCATCTTGGTGGACATGGTGGCGAGCGAAGCCGGGTGCCATATGGTTGGGCCCAGCTTTGAATCCTGCAGAAAACATGGATGTTTGTAATTGTCTATTCCTCCTTTTAGAAGGTATGCAATTCGCCATGAGTGTTACACCCTGGATGGCATTCTCGTTGTAAGACGGCTAAATTACCAGTGTGTGCGGCCATTCCCAAGAAATAGCAAGAGATCGGCAACTTGACATAATACATGATAGTTTAATACTTGATATACTTCTACGCAGAGTTTTTGTTTACTAAAGATAAAAAAATATCTGAGAGAAGGTAATCGCATGGACATTTCTAAAAGAAAAAGAAGAAGCGATTTTGAAAAATTGTATATATATGATTAGGACTTTTGGAGCAAAAAGCATGAAAAATAACAGCGCTTTCGCTGATATTTGAGCCTCGGATCTTCTGGCTCTATCTGAATGTGCTAATCCCTTAACCACAATAGCACGCACAATGAAACACGATAATTCCTTTTATTCTCCCTCATTTAAAGATCGACTGGTGTAATAACGTGACCCAGTCGATCATATCAGGGTAGCGACGAATGCCTCCGCAATATTTTAAATGCAGTGGCATCGTGAGAACTAATAATCATTTCGGAAACATGAAATATAAAAATCAACTGCTATCTACATGGACGTTCCATTTGCTACCTGAACATGCTAACCACTTACACCATTACAGCAAGCACGGCAAGATGCTATTATTCCTTACAAAATTTTCAGTAACAAAGAATGCTTTTACTAAAAAAGGAGGTATACAAATGAGTACTTTGAACATTAGTCTTTTTTTAAC